CGTATGGTTGATAATGCCATCTATAAAAACTAAATTTCCTACTCAATTTAAAGTCATGCAACCCCAAACCATGACGGAGGCACCTTCATGTTTAACTGTAGGGTGTAAAGTTTTTTATGGATCCAAAGCGGAGTTGGGCTCTCCATAGGGTGCGACGACCGTCACTGCCGAAAATGTTGAATTTACTTTCATCAGTGAATATAATTTTCTTCCAAAAATTATTCGCCTTCAGTTGATGAGTTTTTGCAAACTCCAAACGCTTTTCCCGATTTTTCAAGCAGATGAATGAATTCTTTCTAGTAGCTCTACTTTTATATCCAGCTTGTCTGATTACATTTCGCACAGTTTAAGCACTTAACACTTCTGCCAATAATTTGAGAAGTTTCTGCAGCAAGTTCGACTGCACTTACAGATCTTGATATCTCAAAATTTTCCTTTTCGCGACATCACTCAGAATACCTCTTCCACTTTTATTTTTCAGTCAGTCCATCTCTTTTAAATTTTCCAGTGATTTCCTGGATACATATATGACTTCTACCAACAATATTAGGTATTTCACGATCATATTTTCCTTTTTTTGTATGATCTTAGTACGAATTTCTTTACATCAATACTGGTTTCTCTTCGAGGAGCCATTTTCTATATAAGAGTGTGACTTTTAAGTTTATATAACAAACTCCAACGCCAGATGAAATAGTTTAAAGATTATGCAACACTAGATTAAAGTATAGAAGCCACGTAGAAAAAATGTAGTGGTGTTGAGTTCTAGTTTTCATTGGTGTATTCTCAATTTTCAAAAATCTGCAAATGTTTATTTAAACCGCTACTGAAAATTTTCATTTTAGGATTTTTTCGTTGATTGTTCTTAATTTTTACATTAAATTTTAATCAATTGGTATGTGTAAAAATAAAAACATGTTTCCGCATCTTGATATAATGTGTTATTTATATTGAAAGTTAGATTTATCAAGTAAAAAGTAAAGTCGATTTTTTGAGCCGCTGTAAGTATCTCGTTGCAGGTGAGCACGATTGATTTCTCGCCCGAAAGAGTTTTTATTTTTTATTCTTCGTATTGAACTCTTCAATTAGGTGAAGATCCTTGTCGCATATTCAAAACATTTCGGAAGAACAACTCTTTAGAAGTTTTTCCTTTGTCACACGACATGAAATGGCCATCACCGCCGATCATTTTGTTGTTACCATGCAAAGGGCAAACGAATTCTTCGATACGAGTAATTGTTGACGAGTATTTGATGCTGTTTACCTGAAGGGTTGTTGAAAACGAGCAACTTAACAATTTTTTGCGAAAGGAAAAAAAATGAAAAATTGTCTGAAATAAATTATGTGTAATATCAGCCGAAGGCCCTGAGATATTCTATACGATATTTGATAGACTATACTAAGTAATAAGGAATATACTATACTAAGGAATAATAGATAACTAGCCTAAGGAAAGTATTCCGAAAATCCACTTTGTTGCGTAGGCAAGAAATAAATGGGGAGCGCGAGACAGTTTTGTATTATAATTAATCCTTTTTGCAGGGTATGAGCAGACTAAGCCATAAATAGATTGATAGCTACTTTACTTAAAGTTGTCTCTTTTTTTGTTAAGAAATCTGAAGTCCATATGACGTTTTCATATTTCTGTATAGGTTACCACGGGTAATGAAGTTAATTGAAATATTCCGTTTGTTTGACGAACAATTCGCATCAGTCGAAAGGCGGTGAAATTTTTACCAAAATCAATTGCATTAAGTGACTGCTGGTGGTTTCAGTTATTTACATATCATAAGGACTGCATCTAAAGTTCATCAATTGCGGTTTATAACTAGGTGCATAACATATTTTCAGCAACCTTAAAATTCATTCGCACCATAAATTGCTCATTAGACCGTTTTCGTACATATTGTATTTTTCAGAAGTCATTAAATCTTTTAGCTGAAATTTTAAATAAATAGAATATGCAATATGAAACTTCCTATATCGTAGCCGATGATTTTTCTTGCTGTATTTTAAAAGATAATGGGAGATCAACAAGATATTTTTTTCGCGATTTCTTTCGGTTTAAAAATGAGTCGTGCTTGCTGGTCTAATAATGGCAACAACCAGCGAGTTCATAATCATTTTCATTATTTGATAAAACTTTACAGTTCCTAGTTATTTTGTACTGGGTTCGTATTTTGACTTTACGTTTTTATCAGTAGGGAGGAAGTTGCGTTGATGAGCTGAGGTAGGTGCTTAATCAATAGCGCACTTCGCCATTCATGGCATGTAATGTCTTGAGGTTTACCTTTCAGACCGGTTTCTTTAGTCCATGGGTGGTCTTTTATTTCATCACTTAGTTCTTCTGTAGTACATACATATCTCCAAATACGGCAGATCAAATTTCTGATTTTGGAACTTCTCTTGGTTACGTTTGTTATTTACCTTTGGACTTAGCAAAGGCAACAGGATTATTGAAATTGTATTCCATAACTATGAATATACATTTTTTTTTAATTCATGAATATTGATAATCTAATAGTTGTTCAAGCGAGTTTCAACATTTAAAAGTAGTCAGATTTTCTATTTTATTTTACAGGGTAGCATTCCTTAAACATTTGCATTGCACAATTTAATAATTTCTCGCATCAATTCAGATAGCAAATCAAATTTTAGTGTGACCAATCACTGGCAGACATCCAAGGGTCATGAATTCTAGCCGTTGTAAGATGCTTCCATCTGAGTTTTGTAAACTATTATAAAGAAGTCTATTTTCTAAAAAGGTTCAATCAGCTGTTTGTTATCGGTAATAATCGCAAATAAGTTAATGTTTTTATTGTTATCACAGTAAAATTTGTGATAAGTCAAATTGCGTATGAAGAAGAGATTTCTTTCTAAATCTTAACGAGTTTTAACATTTGTAAATTTTTATGTTAGATTTATTCACCCCCCTCCCTGTTATGTTTATTTTGAAGTTTTATTTATTAGAGGTTTTAAAATGATTTTAGCTTGCATGCAACAAACATAGGGGAGTTAATTAAGAATGTTGAAGTCCATTTTATTTTGTATTACGTCTGTGAAATAACCTATAACATCATGCCTGAAATTCTAATTTAAAACAAAAATTGTATTCCTTTACTGAACTGTTTTTAATTGTATTAGTATAAACTGTTTTTCAGTATTTAAGCTCTTTGAAGAGAATTTTGTCCTTCAAGAAGACATCTCACCCCTTGGGCAGAGATGACAATAGTGAATTTTACTGTAATCCAATAAATCTCAATGTCTTTCTGTTACGAATATCCATATGTCTTTTGCCCTCCTCTCACTGTGCTACTGGTCAGAAACCAGCCCATTTCATGGACACTCAGAATTTCTTTATAATATATGTGTAGTAGAGTCTTATCTTTCTCTACTACACATATATTATAAAGATAATTTTATCTTTCTTTGAATACTGCAGACGTGAAACCTCTCGAATTAGCGTCGAGTATGCTTTCAGTTACACCACAAAGGCATGCCGAAAGTAAGGAGAAAATACCTTGCATACTTCTCTTTTTAAAGGGTGACTGGGGATTAGGGATCTAATCACCAATCTTGGTGATGAGGAATTACCGTCCACAACCTTTTAGTTCGAGTGCCACTATAGAGTGATTTGTCATTTCTTTTGTGATGAAAAAATGTGCTATGCTATCCCCGGGAGTAGGACCCTGGACTTTGAATAGGCATCCAGCATACTTCCAGTTGCACCACGAAGACATGCGGAAGGGAGGGGTAAATTACCTTACAAGTGTAATGAATGGTAATTTATTAAACGTACAGTTAAATTTTGAAACAGTTGCTATTTAAGGAAAATGCAAATATGAAATCAAGAAAAAGAGCTTTTTTGTAGCTGTTTTCCGTTATTTTCAGAGATTCCCGTTTTTTTATTAAGCTTTTACTCGGGGAGGATTGTAAATATCTATATTATTTATGGAGTAAATGTTTTGTCTGAAGGTTGCTAAGAGTTGTAAATTAAAAAAAGTCTGTATAATAAACTTAAGTGGGAGTTTTCAAAAGGAATAAAAGTCGCACTCAGAATATACTGAGCAATAGCAGCCTGTTGAGATAAATACAGCTTAGAAAAGTTCTAACCCTTCAAGTGTTATTAATTGAATAAAAATTGGGAAAACTTAAAATCTGCTTCATTCCTTAAGGTGGCCTGGGGGATTTAGTTTAACAGTTCCCGAAGTTGTATTATTTATTTTGAAGTGCAATCGTAAAAAAATGCGTAGTCCTTATTTTGTGCAGTAATGGATGGGCAAAATATTGGTGGAATTAAATTCTGTATACGAAGCTCATTTAGCGCCTTAGACGTTTTAATATGTATAAATGTAATTATTTTTTATATAAAGAAAAGCAAATTGAAGTTTTATAACTGCCTAAAGCAGTACATAGAACTGTCAGTCTGTTTTCCTTACTTTTTAAGTATTGTACTGTTTATTGAAAATATGATCCTTTGGAAACAGAATGTACAGTTTTAAGATTTAAGTTTTATCTTCCAATTTTAAATGAAGTTCATATTTAAAAAGTTGTGTAAAAATATTTATGGAATGGAGTCTTTGAAAATGTGTTATGCCTTTCCCTCTTGTTGGTAACAGGCTTGTATTTTTATTTGATACCATGATATATAAGTAATTTATGCTTGTTGCATTCAAATGCTAAGCCTGTCATTGAAATAATATATCTCTTTCATGTTTTTAAGATTTTTCATATTTCTATATTGATGTTGGACTCCTTCTGCAAGTCTCACCAGTTGATTTGGTGTTAAAATTTTGTGGCGGATTTTTGAAAATGATACGGTGTCATCCAGATTCCTGATTCAAACCATTTTTTATTTATTTATTTATTTTAATGTAGGGGGAGATCGCTATATTTTTCTAAATGGAATTTAGGAAGATTTACTTAAGAACTTAAGTTGCTTAGAATTTCATGAAATTTACTATTTATAAGTATTAAGAATAATTTTCTTTTGCATTTAGACAAGTTGTGGCTCGAAACCTTCTGGAGACGTTACGTTTGGTGCATGAAAATCAGGATGAAGTAGCGCGTGTTCTTGATGTTCTCAGTTCAATTTCGGAAGATTATGGTAAGTTACATTGCTCATATTTGCAATTCTAATCTTTTGTTTATATTTATAATTTACTTTGTAAGAAAGAACACTCGAAGTAATTCGTTTAGGATGAGGACTTGAATTTTAAACTTGTGTGACATAGCACTGTAGGTGCTTATTAATGCTATTAAGATATATGCTTTGTATTTCATCCTTTTTTTTTTTTAATGTTAAAAGAAGCGTAAATTAAACATTAGTAGTGGTTTCTGCAATAAAATTGTATGTTTTATTTGTAATAATGGAATGACAGTTCCAAAAGAATACAAATTACATCACCATTCACAGTGAAATGAATCGCAAAGAAAAATTTGAAATATTGGTAGGTAAACTTACGGAAGTTACCCCTTTTTAAAATCAGGCTGCAAAACAAATTTCTGTGAAACAAATGCACTGAAACAGCAGTTCATGCAAGTTTTGCTTTTGCTAACATTATTGAAAAAAAGATCAGAACTATTTAATGGTGGTGAATTTGTTAAAATATTGTTTGATTAAAATCTGCAGAACTTCTTTCCAATTAAAAATGATATAGTATTATGGAAACTATAATTAAACAAATTTTTCTGTGGATGAGATCCAAATCTTCAAGAATTTGTTGTACTGCTTAAAGAAATTGAAAGTGAGTATGGGTAAATTTATTATGATGAGGTAAAAGTTCTTAAGTCCAGGAGCTATATTAAAAGGATTTTTTGATTTAATAATCCAGATTATTATCTTGCAAAAAAATAAAATCATCAATGAGCAATCATAATGACATATGATTTAGCCTTTCTTGTTGATTTAGTGACCATTTAAATAATCTCAATAAAGTGCTGCAGGGAGAGGATATACTAACATGTATGCGTCCATTAAAATTTTTAAATGAAATTGCAGGTATGGGAAACACAAATGGAAATAAAAAAATTTCTCACATTTTCTGTCTTAAATTGTCATGTTATTCCAAATGAAAAATCTCAAGAACACCCAAGAAAACTAGCATTATAATGAGAGGAATGTGAAGCGAATTTCATTTGACCTATAGAAATATAATAGCAGCTCTAAAACATTTTTTGATTCTAAATTAGAAAATTTGGAAAGCTAATGACATTTTCTAAACGACTGTCAGAAAAAAGTCGCTAATCCGTAAATAATTGCTGTAGCAGTGAATTTACAAATTGTTCAAATAATGCTTTCAAATTATCTTAATTAGTTGTCAGATATGTGTAGTAATATTAATACAGCATTTTCGATTATTCTTTGCTCAACATTGATATCCTTGTAACAACGTCTATTATTTTAAGTCGATTTCAGTCACAAAGTTTCTTGAGCAACTCTTTCTTTCTTCAGAAATTTATGAAGGCATTTAATTTTCAATTCTTTCTGTTAACCATCCGTAAAAATTTCTCATCAGAGCCGTATCTCGCATGCTTATCTATAATTGGTTAATATTCTAAGCAATTAAGATGTTTTGATGTGAAAAATAACACATAATCTCCTGTGTTGAAAGCAAAACCTTCCTTTTATTTCTTTATTTGTATATTTTAAATTTAAACGAGATTAAAATGACTTGAGTATACTGTAGATATTAAGTTTCTAACAGTTATTTTAATTTTTAAACATGCTTTACTGTTTATTCTCGCTTCCCACCTACTATTCCCTACCAGAACCGCGTTACGTGTAAATAAAATAAAGTGTATTTAAAGGAAGGTTTCGCTTACTTCAGCAGAAGGGCTTAGAAGTTCTTAGTGGCGCATATTTCGTTGTTTAAAGCTGACTACCTTCGGCCGTATTGTACGTGCCTGCTATTCGCCATTAAATTAAATTAAGAGCCAACTACGTTAGATAATTGTGTACAGCTTCGGCGAAGTTCAGTTTAGTTTGGCATTAGATAATTTTCTTATCTGGAGTTCAAGGCCAAGTGGAGGCCTGAAAGTCCGAGAAAGGGGCCATTTGCGTTCTTAGTTCGAGATAATAAAGGGTGAGTTTAACCCTTTTGTGGACTTTTCATTTACAGACTTGGACTCAGCAATAAGTCGCTACATAGTTCAACAAGGTTTCTACCAAGTTAAGCATAGGCAAAGTAGTTAGAAACACAAAACCGATTGTTTTAACTCCTGAGGCATTTATTTATCAAGATGTACATTTATCCGGGCTATAGATATCCAGAACTTTATCCGCTTACATTTTCTTGTGTGTCAAGTGAAGTAAGCTGCTTGTATTTACGCCTTTCTAATTCCATTAATTTACGATAGTAAAAATTTTTGTACATTAAAATTAATTGGATAGAAATAGATTATTGATTTATTTTTGTCGTGAATGAAAATAATTTCTTTAATTTGAATGTGGTGTAAAGGTACACGTTTTTCTTTAGTCATTTATTTTAAGTGATTTTCATTGAGGCCTGTGGAAATGAAGATAATCTTTATTTTTTTATTTTAATCAGAGTAGATATAGATACTCATTTGGGAAAATTAAAACAGTAATAATTATTGGAATCAAACAATGTGGGGGAGTTCTTGATCACTTTTTTTGCCTGAATAATAGAGGGGTGCTTATTGTTTTATAGCTTTTTTCATTAAGTATACTAAAAGCCCGGGAAATGCCGAAAGCAGAGACGTGAAAATTCTGGATAAATGAGTGTATAAAAAAAAGTTATACACGATAGCGAAGTCAAATGAAAGGAAGAAATTTCCGGTGTGGAATTATCGGAGCAGTCATGTTTGTTATCAACTAAAGTAACAAAAAGCTTAAAATCATGTAGAGGAGAAATGCATTTCTCTCCAAGTATTTCGTATTTTCGAAACATAAAAAGTAAATCTTACCCGATTATGAAATTCCATCGATATCAGAATTTGCGAAAGTCACCAGACTGCGCCAGTTATTCTGGAAGAAACTATGATCGTTACTTAGTTATGTAATCAACAGATACCAGTTACTGATATAAAATATAAAAAGCTTAACTCATTTATCACGGTTTTTCACTTGCATCGCTTTTATTTACACGAATACAAATAATATCGCATATCGTGTCCATTAACATTCACTCCTCTTTATATCAGGATTCCGAAGCTTCAAAAATACTTTGCTGCTTGCTGTTCTGTATTAGGCAGGTCCTAAATTTTAATATTCTTTGTCAGAATACGAGATAAAAGCATATAAATAGCAATTAACTTCTATCTTTTACGAAAGTTTAATCGGGTTATCAATAATTGTGGTGCTTACATCAAATCGAGACGAAGATCTTAACTTTGTGTCTTGATGTGGTATCTATCCGTTATTGGCACCTTAGCGATTTAAATTTGAATAACATTCAACGATTGGTTCGCTAATTCAAAATACAGCATTTTAGAAAGCTTGATTTGGTATTTTTCAGAAGTGGAATAGATTTTTGACTTCAGTAACATATTAATAGTTTGAACGGAATTAAAATTTGCGCTTGGACAGTAAAGTAGGCGGTGCTAGAAGTAAATCGGTGAGTCTGAATGTCCAGTTGCCAATTTAGAAAGGGGGGAAAATACTTTTTAGAATTCTTTGCAAATTTTATTGTGTTTTCAGGCACTGTCGAAATATTTTTAAAAACTTACCTCCCTCCACACAAGATTCGAGCTTTTAAATGTTATCAGATGATTTTACTTGTTTTTACCGTCCGTTGCTTATTTACATTTCAGCGTTTTTGTTTTTAGACATACCGGATCCTTACTTGCGATAATGCTTAAAATAATCATTTCTTTAAATTGAAACACTGCGCACTTTTTTAAAGCTATTTTCCAGTTGAAATCGAAGTTTAAAATAGAACCCCCGTGGCTACCCTCAGCAGCCTTGGAATACCAGACAAGAGAACAGATCTCTTCTTGGGAGGACTTGGTGCGTGTGATGACAAATATTCTAAATTCGTGTATTGGAAGATCACCAAAACAGTGTATGCAAATGATGTATACTAATGCGGCAATGTTCCTTGAATACTTTTAAACACAAAAATGTTATTTGGTACAAATCCGATATGTCTGGAAGCGACAAGTATTACTTCTTAAAATTGGCAATAACAACAGCCCATACTTGCGAGCTTGGAATGCCATTATAATGCTGTTTGAGGAAGGGCGACCCGTCTGAAGAAATGTTGTAGCTTCCCGTTTCGCTAATTCATTGGCAAGCTAGGCAAATTATTTCATGCGTTTCATGTCTTTGGCAAATAAAAATAAAACTACTGTCAAAAATTACCGTTTATCTCGTTGTAATTAGAATAATTTTGTTTTGTTGATGGATATGTTGATAAGTTTCCCGACTTCAGATTATGCAGAATCGAAAGTAAATTGGGATTTGATGTGAAGTATTATTTCTTTATTATCTAATTCAGTGGTTCACGGAATGCAGACGTCAAATTTACTCGCATATTTGAAAATGCGTATAATTTGTTATTTAAAGATGTTGCTTAAAATTTTAACGGATTATTTTTACGAAGAAAGTTTACGTGATTTTGAAATACGGCGTTTTTTGAATAAGAATAATTAAGGGAAATAAAGAGACCAGTACCGTTAAGCTTAATTTGTCAAATACGTTAATTTAAAAAAGAAACACTGTTGTTTTTGAGATTATTATTTTCAGTTATTTTTTGTTATAGCATTGGTTTCTTCTAATTACTTTTTGTTTTATTTTATCTTTTTATTTTCAGTTATTTTTTGTTATAGCATTGGTTTCTTCTAATTAATTTTTGTTTTATTTTATCTTTTTATATCAGTAGTTATTCAATTTACGGCTCGCGAAAAATTACATTACATTGCAGTCGCAAGGTGAATGAAAAAATTGTAAATAAATTTAATTGAATACAAATGCGTCACTGGCAGACTTTTTTGAGAACAACTTTGGAGATTAAGCATTTGGTGTTACCTGAGCATTCGATAATTCTGGTGCGTAATATTGAAACTAGTAGACAGACAGCTTGATACTAGTGTGTATATGTTGATCTTTTTAATTCGGAACTTTACTTTCGTAACGCATAATTA